AAGGAAAAAACGAGGAAGGTGCTGTCAGTCATCCAAACAGGTGAGTTTCAAAAACGTTTCCAAGAATGGAGTCGCAGATTTGACAAATGTATTAAATGTAATGGAGAGTACTTTGAAGGAGATAGGTTGTTTTGTAAAAATATTTAAATACATAGCTTTGAAAAAAAATTCAGGTTTTTTTGGGGGGTACCACTCATAGAGTAAATACACCTCCAGGAGCCCTGTTGGAGTTAGGCATTGAGTTCTAACCTCAAGGTCAATAGTTCAAAACCACCAGCCACTCCTTGGGAGTGGCTTTCTACTTCCGTAAAGAGTTATAGTCTCACATGAAGAGAGAGTTTACCAAAAGTGACATACAAATGGCTAACAAACACATGAAAAAAACTGCTCACGATCATTAGCCATCCAGAAGATACATATTAAAACCACAATAAGATGCCACCTTATACCCCAATTAAAAACAAACAAACAGAAAATAACATATGCTGGAGAGGTTGCAGAACGAATGGAACTCACATACACTGTTGGTCGAGTTATAAATGCATACCACCTTTATGGAAGACGATATGGCAATACCTAAAACAACTGGCAATGTAAATTCCTTAAGAGTCAGTAATAAATCCCAAAGAAAAAAGAGACACACTAGGAGTGGATGTATGCTGTCCCATGTTTACTGCAGCACAGTTCACAACAGCAAGAAACTGAAGCATCCCAAATGTCCAACAGAAGAATGGACAAAGAAACTCTGGTACATACACACAGTGGAATATTATGCATCCCCCCCCCCCAAAAAAAATACCAGTGATGCAAGCATGAAACAACACATGATTTGGAAGGGCCTGGAAACCATTATGCTGAGTGAAGTTAGTCAATCATAAAAGGGCAAATATTGTATGAGCCTACTACTATAAGGAGAAACATCAATTAAACAAATCTTAGAGACCAATTCCTAAACAAAAGAGCAGAGAGCTTGCCTATTAGCCATAGACTCCCACCTTTAATGCACTTTACAAGAGCCACCTTGGAAGAGGAGACCTCACATCAGCAGAGAGCACTCCTTCAAGAAGGGGGCTAAGGAAAAGATCAACACTGAAGCAAGAAGGGAACTTTATTGGAAGGTAGAGTTAAGACTAGGAGAGGAGAGCATCAAGATTTCAGAGGAAGCATTTATTCTTCTGTTGGTGGATAAATGGGGAGAGGAGCAATCTCACATTGGGAAGACACTCAACAATAATTATAGAGAACTCAAGCGGAAAATAAACCTGGTACTATGTTCCTGGTTAGGACTTCTGGTGGTCTAGTGGTTACACAATGGGCTGTGATACGCATGGTTGGAAGTTCAAAACCATCATAAGCTGTATGGGAGAAAGACTGGGCTTTCTACTCCCTTAAAAAGTTACAATCTCAGAAACCCACAGGGGGTCATTATGAGTCAGCATTGTCGCAATGGCAGTGAGTTTGGTTTGGGTTGGCTATGTTCCTGGTTAGACACTTTAGAATTAGTTAACAACCAACCCTCAATGAACCATGCCATGGATTATGTACTATGATGACCTTAGGCTTTGGCCTTATGGGGAACATGGCACACACACACACACACCCATAGGCCACACCAGAAGGACTTGACATGGAAACCCCACTGAATGAACTGAGCCCTATCTCTAAATTACCTGTAGCTTTTAGACTTAAAACTGAAATTCCTTAATGTGAAGAAACAAATGAAGGCCACCATAACACTGTGGAATTGATGGCCATTGGACTTTAGCCAGGATGCCTGACTTAGCAGGCGTCCAATAAAAGGAGACTAAGAACCACCATATATTTACTATCTTTATGACTCTTTCGCATTAATACGACATGTATTAATCTGATAGGTAAGGATCGCCCTTGTAAGAAATGTTACTGGAAAGTTTCCCTTAGCATCAACCTATATGCTCAATGTAAACAGAGCTCAATTATTTAAGAATCCAATCTGTACAAATCAACAACTCATGGATTGCAGTTCAAAGCTGGAGTATACTCACATAATCTCCTTTTATCAACAGGATCTTAAATTCTATGGCATTGGATAAATTATTGGTGTTATCAATGGAATTTCCTTATACCCTAGGGGGATAATGCTTTTGTCAAAAATGTTAATAAGACTGCTGAAGTAAATCAGAATCAGACAAGTTAATGGATTCTGAGCTCCTACTTAACTCTAGCTCCAATCCAAGATCAACAGTTAGTGTTTAGGACATGGCCCTGGTCGATACTCACTTTGATGAAGTGATCACTGAAGATAGAGTGCTACAGCAAAGTGGGGTGAAGAAAGCAGATTGGGCCTGGCTATCAACTGGAATAGCGGCTCGGGTCTTAAAGGCTTGTATTCAAACAAGCAGCCATCTAAGTGAGACGTCAACTAAGTCCACATGGAAAAATCAAAACAGCCTGGGTGATACAAAGATGACAAATAAAAAAATCCAACTACAATGCAGGGAAAGGTTATTAGAGCTTAAACTGTGACCACAAAATTTGTAGAAGGCTATGGAGGGCAGTGGGAGCCCAAAATCCATCAGCAGAGTGTCTATTCAGATTAAGCCTCTAGCAGATCCCTTATGGCCACCCTTGCTATCAGAGACTACTGTAAACTTGATGGAATATACTGTAAACTACTGTATAATATGATACCTGGTCAGGTGACCTCCCTTTTGACGAATTCTGAATTTGCTCTAGGTTTAAATATTTCTCACTTGTTACTTAACAGAAGTTTTCTCTCTGGCTTATTTTACTATTGCCAATAGTCTTTTCTTTCCTCCTCCCCCCCCCCTTTTTGTCTTTTATTGTTTCTGATGTTTCCCAGTTTATGAAGCACAGGAGCAATGTATAGCGATGACAACTGATGTAATAGCTTTAGGGGTTATGGGGAAGAGTTAAGTGGAAATGGGGTACAAATAATGAATGTGGGAGAGAGAGGGTACACTAGAACTGATTGTGATGCTGGTATATACAATTCTTTTTGAAAGAGTTAACTATAGAAGTGTATGGTATATGACTTTTATATCAATAAAACTATTGAACAGAAAAGGAGTTAGTCTCAGAAACTCGAAAGGGCAGTTCTACCCTGTTCTATAGCATCTCAAGGTTAGGCTCTTTACCAGGCTTGGTCTCGAGGTCCAATGTTCCCTTAGCAGACAGAAATCCCTATTCCATCCATCTCAATGGTCCCTCTATGCCAGAGGACATAGAAAAACTACCTGGGGTTAAAAATAAAATACACCAAAACTTCCCTCCCTTTGATCTCCTAAAGGAGTCCTGGTAAGCCAAACACTTGTAGGATTTCAATTATGTCTATACTAGTAACTAGACAAATACATAGAGTTCAATTGAATAGACTAGAGAATCCAGAAACAAACCCACACAAATATAGTCCACTGAATTTCAACAAAAGCTCAAGGACAATTCAATGAAGAGCCGTTTTTCCCACAAATGGTGCCAACCAGGGTGGCAGAAAGATGAACCTTAACCTATATTTTACACCATACACTAAATTAACATATCATAAAACCAAATGAAACTCACTGCTGTAGAGTTATTCCAACACGCAGCTCACAGTGCAATATCTACATCTGCTGGTGCTGGAAAGTAAGCTAACAGATCAATCGCAGTTCAAAGCTACCAGCCAATCCATGGTAGTAAGATGAGGTTGTCTACTCCCGTTAAGACTTACAGCCTGGGAACCCTAGAATGTGTCACTAAGAGATGTAAACAACTTTGGCAGGGTGTCGGGTGCCTGTCTCCATTTAGTTTCCTTGGTCTAGACTGCCTCTCCTCATATGGCTATTCTCTGATCCATCTTCAGGCCTCTAATCAGTTCATCCGAGCAAACTCTGTAAACCACTTATATTGAGATAAATCCCTCTGGGTTCTTACATAGAGGGGCAGCGAAAAAGAGGAAGGCTCTCAACGAGATGGACTGACACAATGGCTGCAACAATAGGCTCAAGCACAGGGGCAATTGTGAGGATGATGCAGGATAGAGCAGTATTTTGTTCTGTTGTGCATAGGTCAGTCACCATGGGTCGGAAATGACTTAATGGTGCCTCACAACATCACCCAGAGCATACTCAGTCCTGAGATTTCCCACATTCTACTGAAATTACCTCTGTGTACCTTTAGCTGGCCTGCAACTTTCTCAACTTGCCCATTTTTACCTGGCATCTCGCACAGTAAAAACGTGTTCAGAAAAAGCTTTGATGAACTTAACTACTAAATTTTGATGACAAAACTATCCATTTCCAGTTTGCTAGGTACCTGGTATTCAATTGTGAGGATGGCGCTCAGGACTGGCAGTTTCTTTCTGTTGTGCACTGGGTCGATACGGGCCTGAACAGAATCGATGGCACCTAGCCACCACGGGTCCCCTGCGCCACACAGCCTTCCCCCACAGAAATAGCTCCTTGCCCTGAGTGAGCTACCAGGTTCTTGGAGCAAATTGCATTTGAGTATTTTTTTACTTTTTTTTTTTTTGGCCTGTATCCCAGTTTAGAGAGAAAGATTTGGGAGGGGGTGGAATAAGAGAAGCCATCAAGTCACCCACTATAAACCTCAGTTTTCCTACATTGGGGTTGGGAGGATATCTTGTTTATTAACAAGTTCTTAAAGTCAGGCCAGGAAGCCTGGTGGCGCGGTGGATTATAAAGTGAGCTCACCGAAAGATGGCGGTTCAAGCTCACCAGCCCTTGGGTGGAGAAAAAAAAAACGAGGCAGTCTGCTCCCCTTCAGATTTACAGCTTTAGAACCCTACGGAGTGACCTACTGGCTTCACTACAAGTCTACAGCAACTGGATGGCAGTTGGGTTTGGTTTTTAGCTCACGCGAAGCCGCCTGGCTCAGTTTCCCGCCCGCCCGCAAGTTGAGGTCGACTTCGCCCTAACACTTTCTACTTAGAACTCGGGCGCCCTCAGAGAGCGACTCCCCGGCCACGAGGTGGAAAGCGCTCCGGCCTTCCCGGGGGTCACCTTCTCCAGGGCAGCTCCTCTTCGTCGAAGTCGCTCTCGGACACCGACCCTTCGATCACCGTCTCGTCACTGTCCCAGTCTAGGGCCTGAGCGCCTTCCTCCATCTTCGCTGCCCGCCCACGCAGAATCTCTCCCCTACTCCTCTGTCCCCCTTCCAAGGGAGGAGGAGAAGGCGCTCTGAGGACCAAGTAGGGGTGGCTTGTGAGTTAGTAATAAGACACGATAACTAATATTACAAAAATAATAAAAGCCGCAGCTCGAGCTGAGCGCGCTGACTGGGCTGCGCGGCCGTCCGGGTCGGGGTTCTCCGAGGCCGC